GTGGTCTCCGTTTCTTTGTAAGCCTGTTCTCGGCATGTTCTAGAGCCTTCTCTGTAACTCTTTGTTCTGAAATTTTATTACCATGTATCTTGGTGAGGTTTCTTTCATTTTCATCCTTGAATCCTGAGCACTTAATGGGACCTTGCAGGCTGAGGAAATAGAAAACAAACCTTATCTGTAGTCTGTATTTTATTTCTTAAATTTTCCCAATTTTCACCTTCTCCAACTTCTCATCCTATCGGGTGAATTTTAAAACATTTGGATCTTTCATGTCATTTAACTTTGCTTTCATAGTTTTCATTTTTTGTATCTTTTTATGTGCTTTTGAAGGAAAATTTCTTGACTGATCTTTTGGCTCATTTATTTTTTCTCATCTCTGTTATTCTTTCCTGGATTCATCCTTATTGATTTTTTTAAATAACAAATTTTACATTTTCATGATCTTTAAATTTTCTTGTATTATCCTCTCCTCTATTGCTGAGGACATTAAATACACTTACTCTGAGGTCTCTTCTATTAACAGTTTCTTTGGGCTCTGCTGTTCATTAAGTTTAGTGTCTCTGATTTGCTAACAAAATTCAGATCTATTCCAAATTCACTTAGGCCTTACATTGAACACTAGACTGATATTCCAGTGAAATCTCCCAATCTACCACTTTATCTGAAACAAATTTACGATGTAGAAGAAACTGCCTCTCTGCAGTTGTCAGGGAAAGAGATGTCTCCTAAAAATTCTGATGACTCTTGCTTATGTGCTCATCTTTGTACCGGGGGATTCCAGGGCTGATGTTGCCTGTGTATGAAGGATGGCAAATCATATCAGGCATTTACAGTAATCTTTCCATGATGGCAACTCCTCTTACTTGGTACGTTTTCATTTCTTTCTCTTTGCCCACGCACACTGCTGGCATCAAACATTTTTGTGGCTTGTTATATTCTTCAAAGTAGGAAAAGGGCAGATATGAATAAAACCTTCCCGCTGCTCCTGCTGCAGTATCCAGTGATGGTGTCAGTGGTCCCAAGAGCAACTCTTGTTCCTAGAATCTTGGTTCTACAAAGTACGGGTCATTTTTTGGTCCATTCCTATCTTCTACAAAAGTCCTGTACCACACTCTTCACTCTTACTCCACCTGCCACCTTTTTGTCAATTTCCCATGCTTTCTAGGAATTTGGTGGTAAAGATGGGAAGAATGCAAAATACTTCAGCACAGTATCCTGAGTCAGTAGTTATATTCACTTTCATGTTAGAACACGAGAAACTTGCACGGCATTCAAAATCCCTACTGCCAACATCAACTAACATTAAATGAAACGTTTATTGCCAACCATTAGTCTAAGCATCATTATAAGTATCTGCTCATTGATCCTTTATAACAAGTTTGCAGTAAGCCTTGCTATTATTCCCCATCTTAAGATGAGGAAACAGAATAAGAAACATCTCGTGATACCACTGAGAAAGCGGAGCCCAGTTACACCATTTGTTTGTCTCAGTAGCCTGCTCTCTACTCACACAGGATACAGTGGCAAACCCAGAAGACTTAAGGAAATATTGTCCTTATACACTTCCTGTGTTGTAAGAGACCTTATTTCCATCCAACAACTCAATCTTAATGACTCGGCTGATGCTCATAATCCTTATTTTCTCATGTCAGGAAGAATACTCATGGCATTGCTGTTTTGCTTCAGCTTTGTAATCTTTACAACTCTACTTTTTCCCACACTATAAAAGATTAGCATTTACTAATCCAGAGAGGTTTCTCAATTATGCCTCTTTCCCTCCCTCCCAAACACATCCCCACAATCATAAATAATAGGAAAATAAAACTCCTTTAGACAAATGAAAAAAAATTCTTATCTTTTTTCTCCAAGCTACAGTTTGGAATTCAAGTTTTATGTTGATTTACTCTTCTGCTAGTCCTAAAACTGTATTCTTCTCTACACATACTTATTCTTTGGGAGGCGGCATTTAAGAATAATTTCTATCATTTAATACCTTGATACTCACATAAAAAAATATGGAAGTCAGATTTCAAATGCTTTAAAAGACTCAGAAAAAAAATCCCTACCAAGAGGCTTAGATAAGCAAAATCATTCAAAGTTTTATAATGTACCATGGAGAAAAGTGAAGAAAACCTAAGAAAAGAAAACAAGATTGTTCCTTTACTGGGCCTAATCCAATATGTACCATAAATTGATAAATTAATCAGCATATTGTTCTCCTCCTCATAGTTCTGCAAATTATAATATGAGTCTTGGGTAGGTCGACATGCCAAACTAGACTATAGTTTCAGAGAGAAATTATCTAAGTGTTCTAGATAGTTTCTATTCACTTGGCTTGCTTTTGTGTTAAATCTTCAAAATTCAGAGCTTTCAACTCAAAAATCAGAAACAAGAAAGAAGTGTTTAATGAAAATGTTTTCTGGGGTCCTTCTGGCATCACCAGAGTGAATTCATCTGGGAGTTGAAGAGGGCTCCAAAGGTGGGAAGTGAAGTCAGTGCCTCAGTTGTTGATAAGTGTGTATTTTGGGCCCATTCTTCTATCATACAAAAAAAGAAGAAATATTGCAGTGAATGAAGATTCCTCTGCATTTTAGCACTGCTTTTTCTACTGTAGTTGGCTTTTGAATAAGGATGACAATGGAAGAGATGAAGAATGAAGCTGAGACCACTTCCATGGTTTCTATGCCTCTCTATGCAGTCATGTGTCCTGTGTTTAATGAGTTAGAACGAGTAAATCTGTCTGCAGCTCAGACACTGAGAGCCACTTTCATTAAGGCTGAAAAAGAAAATCCAGGTCTCACACAAGACATCATTGTGAAAATTTTAGAGAAAAAAAGTGTAGAAGTTAACTTCACAGAGTCTCTTCTTCGTATGGCAGCTGATGATGTAGAAGAGTATATGATTGAACGACCAGAGCCAGAATTCCAGGACCTAAATGAAAAGGCAAGAGCACTTAAACAAATTCTCAGTAAGATCCCAGATGAGATCAATGACAGAGTGAGGTTTCTGCAGACAATCAAGGATATAGCTAGTACAATAAAAGAACTTCTTGTTACAGTGAATAATGTCTTCAAGAAATACCAATACCAGAACCGCAAGGCACTTGAACAACAAAAGAAAGAATTTGTAAAGTACTCCAAAAGTTTCAGAGATACTCTGAAAACGTATTTTAAAGATGGCAAGGCAATAAATGTGTTCGTAAGTGCGAACTGACTAATTCATCAAACCAACTTAATACTTCAGACCTTCAAAACTGTGGCCTGAAAGTTGTATATGTTAAGAGATGTACTTCTCAGTGGCAGTATTAAACTGCCTTTATCTGTAAATTTTAAAGTTTGACTGTATAAATTATCAGCCCCTCCTGAAGGGATCTAATCCAGGATGTTGAATGGGATTGTTGCCATTTTACACCATATTTTTGTAAAATGTAGCTCAATCATAATCTCACATTGGGCCGGGGATTTAGTTTAGTGGTTTCACCCCCTGCTGCACAAGCTCAAGGACCCGAGTTCAATCCCCGGTACCAAAAAAAACCAAAACCATAATCTCACACTGAAGATTTTGCATCACTTTTGCTATTATCATTCTTTTAAGAATTATAAGCCCAAAGAGTTTATGCCTTAATGTGTCATTATATAACATTCCTTAAAAAAATTGTAAATATTGGTGTTTGTTCCTGACATTTTAACTTGAAAGCGATATGCTGCAAGATCATGCATTTAACAATATTTGGTGGCAAATATTCAATAAATAGTTTACATCTGTTAAAAAAAAGCAAAGAAAATGTTCTCTGAAAACACTGATATGAAATAGTACAACTATCATGGGAGAGGAAACAAAGTCATTTCAAAATGTCGGCAACCAGGAGGAGCACTGTACACCTAGCTACTCGAGAGCAGTACTCATTGTACTGCTAGCTACTCAGGAGGCTGAGGCAGGAGTATGAGTTCTCCCTGGGCAACACAGAAAGAGCTCATCTGAGAAATAAATAAAAATTAAAAAGAAAAAATGCTTATCAAAGACTAGACAGGCCTTTACCAAGCACCAGTAACAGACATTATAAAGTTTTTGTTTGTTTATTTCCTAATTCATTGTTTTCCTATTGGGCCACAAAGCAAATACAGAATCAAAGACCCTGCAAGTAAACTGTGGGAAAATGCCTTATTGGGTGATGTTTTTAGAATTAAAAGAAGTTCTTGTTGGCGAATATAAGACACTTGGAGAAAGTGACCCTCAAGTCACTAGAAATCTAGGAAAGTTCCACTAGCTGGGAAAGGAAATGGGCTCCCGAGGTGTAGTGGAAATCCTAACCACAATCATCCGGGAGCAACACTTAGCCCGTATTTAGAGTGCTCCACCCCTGTGCGAAGCGCTCTAAGTACCTTATCTCATTTAATTCTCACATCAAGCCTAGGAGGTGGGTTCTATTCTTTTTCTCATTTTCACAGAGGCCGAAACTGAGGATTAGAGATGAAAACCTTCTTTCCCAAGGTCATTCCGTTCTCAGGCAGGGAATCTAGGTCTCCAGGGTAGTACTCGCCCTCTCGGCAAGAACTCCATAAATGCTAAGAGGACAAACAGGCAAAGTGGAAAGAACCAGAATTACTGCTGTGCATTGTGCAGATACAGCTCTGGTTTGACATTAAGAATCATCTCCACCTCTGCCGCTCCGAGCTGCCTGCCAGCATGGAGTGTGCTCCTATGGGGGCCGAGGTTACCTGGTTTCCTTCTATGGCCTCTTTATCCAAGTGAGGGGATCTTAGCAGAGCCAAGGAACAGTACGGAGTGAATGTATGGGTGAAGTTACAGCCATATGGCCCACAAACGTGCTTAGAACCTTGATACTATAAATCACTGCACATTTAAGGGTCTTCACTTAAGCTAATTTTGAAACAGTATGAAGAGCAGGATAGAAACAAAACATCTGCAACTTCCTAAAAGAGTCAAAGGATTATAAATGGGTATTGCAAGAAACTTGAAGACAAAAAAACCCCAAAAAACAAAAAACAAAACTTGAAGACCAACAGTTAGAATCTTCATTTTATTGAAAAAGATTAGGAGACTCAAAGATGTGACAGTAGTCAATGACTTTAATCCTAAATCCCTACTTATTTAAATTATTTCAGGTTCAGTATCGCTGATTGCTGTGACCATTCTGGAATCTAACCTTCCTGGATTCTGACAAGCACACCGTTGAGTCGTCTTACTCAGGCCTCTTGCCTGGCCATCATCAGAAAAAGGCCAGAAAAAGAGGACTTCAGTGACAATCTAAAATTTCCAGTGAAGGAAGTAATATAGCACATTTTATTTGACTTTTAAGTAAATATAAATTTAAACTGTTATAAAATCATCAATTAAATTCACTTTACATGCAAAATGGTCATGTAAATTCCTCACTTATTCAGAATGGCTTCATCTTAATGGGATGAGGTGGCACATGGCTATTCTGCAGGCTGAGGCAGAAAAGTCACAAGTTTGAGGCCATTTAGACAATTACAGAAACATACCTCCAAAACACACACACACTCTAAAAATCACCTCCCCAGGCCCGCCTTCCAACTTGACCAAATCAGGAAATTTCATGAGAAGCACCTGTAACTGCTTAAAAACGAGTGAGGCAAAAAAACAAAAACAAAAACAAAAAACAACCCCCCCCCCCCAAAACAACCCAACTGAGGCGATTCATAATAACAGGAAAGTTAGTTACAGAACCAAGATAGGGTCCTGGGCCTGGGAATTGACGGTTTCCCTGTGTAGAATGACCTGTAGACCGAACCAGTAAGACTATGGAGAGTTCAGCTTCTACCCAGTACAAAAACAGGCTGGAGTTGAGGGAAGGTGTGACTAAAATGAGGATCGCCAGGTCTGACAGTTCATGCCAGTAATACCAGCACTCTAGAGGCTGAGGCAGAACCTCCAGCTCAAACTCAGCTCGGACTACATAGCTGAGACCCTGCCTCAAAAATCTAAAAATGAATGTGAGGATTCCATTCTGATGGATAGGGAGATTTTTGGGTCGAGTCTCCCACCTCTGTATGAGAAGCAATACTGTAAGCCAGGTAATTCTGACGGACTGTCCAGTGCATTATAAGATGCTCAGTATTGCCAGCTTCTACCCATTGATGCAACCCTCCCACACCACGCAATAAGTTACTTCCTGCTGTGTCCGAGTGTCCCACGGGAGGGGCAAACCTTCCCTGGTTGAAGTCACTGGGATAGAAATTGAGGATGCCTAGGTCAATTTGTAGACACGCATCAAATACATGAGTTTGTGACGTCTAAAAGTGTAAAACAAAGGTTGAAACACTGAGAACCTTGGGCTTTCCACGATAGAGAAAACCCCAGCTTGGTATTTTTGAAAACCTAAATTTAGAAACGCGGGGGGTCACTCAAACTCTGCCACACCTCTCTCTTCTCCCCCGCAAAAAACAAAAAAAAGCACCAATGAGAGCTATGATGAAACCTATTTTTCTGTTGAGTTCCCGCATCATTTGCTATTGGTGAGATTCATTTGACTGAGGGACACAATTGCACTACAAGAGGATCCCTCCTCTAAGCCAAAACGTACTCGTGGCCATGACCACATCCTAAGCAAAAGCTAACCAATCGTCAGTGTTTACAGCTGCTTTCTCAGACCACTGAAGTGGCTCTGAAAAGAGCCTTTGGGTTATATAGGCCATCTGTCGCGTCCCTTACTTGGAGCTGGTGTACTTGGTGACGGCCTTGGTGCCCTCGGACACGGCGTGCTTGGCCAGCTCGCCCGGCAGCAGCAGGCGCACGGCCGTCTGGATCTCGCGGGACGTGATGGTCGAGCGCTTATTGTAATGCGCCAGGCGGGACGCCTCGCCGGCGATGCGCTCGAAGATGTCGTTGACGAAGGAGTTCATGATGCCCATGGCCTTGGACGAGATGCCGGTGTCGGGGTGGACCTGCTTCAGCACCTTGTACACGTACACTGAATAGCTTTCCTTGCGGCTGCGCTTGCGCTTCTTGCCGTCCTTCTTCTGCACCTTTGTAACGGCTTTTTTGGAGCCCTTCTTGGGAGCAGGAGCAGATTTCGCCGGATCCGGCATTTTCCTCTCGCTGTAAAACTGCAACACACGAAGGGAAGCAATCCCAGACTACACTGCAAGCGGCCAGTTACGCGATACTTATAGAGCTCGTATGCAAATGAAGGTTCCAAGATTGCTGCTTTTTTATTGGTTAATTTAAACCAATGTCGTCATAGAAGGGTGGAGCCTATGTAAATAATAGATTCTGGTTGCGCTTCCCTAGTAGTCATTAGAACAAAAGTGTGAGCCAATCAAAATGTTCCATTTCACATCGACCAGTAAATTACGTAGAGCAGTGATTTCATCGGTTCAGGGCTTTTTTCGTTAGTTTTCCTATTAGATTGTAGATTTATATACGGATTTCTTAAGTACAAAAGTAAAGACAAACTAGTTTCTTCTATTCTTGCACCATTTCACTGTATATAAACACCACCAGGGACTCACTATTCTGGTTTCCACCACCTGTATTGTGTGACGAATGTCAAGCTATAAGCCAACTATACAATACCAAAAAAAAAGCTCCTTCCAAGAGAAGAGATTGTCTCCGGCGCCAGGACCTTACACACCTCGGGATTCGGAGTATTTCTCGCCTCCCACATTTTCCTTTCCACAACTGATACATTGCTCTAGGTTTAAGCCAGCAAGGCTGAGTTGGCCTAAACCAAGACACTTTGTTTCCTGTCATGTAACTAAAAGCAGGGGACCCACATTTCCTATTGCCCACCTTTGCGATGTTCCCCTTATTTCTATCCTCAGGACACTTAACAGTAAACACAGCTGAAAAGCTGATACAGCTGCTCTTAGCGGAAACGTAGGTGGCTCTGAAAAGAGCCTTTAGATTAACCTAGTGGATGATCTAGGCCCGCTCCCCGCGGATGCGACGGGCCAGCTGGATGTCCTTTGGCATGATGGTGACGCGCTTGGCATGGATGGCGCACAGATTGGTGTCCTCGAACAAGCCCACCAGGTAGGCCTCACTCGCCTCCTGCAGCGCCATCACGGCCGAGCTCTGGAAGCGCAGGTCCGTCTTGAAGTCCTGCGCGATCTCGCGCACCAGCCGCTGGAAGGGCAGCTTGCGGATCAGCAGCTCGGTGGACTTCTGGTAGCGCCGGATCTCGCGCAGCGCCACGGTGCCCGGCCGGTAGCGGTGCGGCTTCTTCACGCCGCCCGTGGCCGGGGCGCTCTTGCGGGCCGCCTTGGTGGCCAGCTGCTTGCGCGGGGCCTTGCCGCCGGTCGACTTGCGAGCGGTCTGCTTTGTACGCGCCATAACTCACTTGTTTCGACCAAGACACTTTGGGCTGTGGTATTTATAGACATGGCCTCGTCTTGATTGGGCCAGAAAGGAAGAACTTCAAGAATTCTGATCTCATTGGCTAGAGCTCCATCCTATTTACTGAGCCAGAAGATTGTTATGCTAACCCTTCTGTTATTCCTTCCTTTCCCCTCCTCTTTTTCTGATTTATCCATCCAAGGATAGTTGCTTGAAGTTCTTTCCTTTGCACGCCCTCCTATGAACTTCAGTGATTCAGCTTGTTTCAAGTCACCTGTTACTGTAACATTTCTCCAAGAGCTAACATTTAGTTTCTGTTCCTGTGCTCAGCACCTTAAATGTATTACATGATCACTGAAGCATAACAAAACAATATGTAGTGGAAGGATTAAAAATTAAACTTACTGTTACCTGACATCTGACTTAGACTGTTCTGGTACCGGGGATCAAACTTGGGTCCTTGAGCTTGTGAGGAGACAATGGAACCACTGAGCTAAATCCCCGGCCCAAATGGAACAGTATATATTTTTTAGAGTAGAAGTTATGCACAATCTTTTTTGGCGGGGACCTTGCACTTACAAGGCAGGTGCCAGAACCACTGAGCTAAATCCCCTGCCCCCAAATCCCCTTTTATCTGCAGGCTACTGACCAACTTGGTATTAGGGGGCCGGGGTTTCAGTTATGCCATATGCTTTGAAGTATTGTTCAGGCAAGTGCATAAGACAAGGTACCAGTTTGCATAAAACATTCAATTGCATGCTTGTTTTATCAAAAAAGCATTATATACAACCTTATGAAAACTCAAACCTAACAAAAGCAGGCCCAAGATGCTTAAAACTAGCTTTGATAGTGACAGTATGAATCTTTTCTCTACTAAAATCAAAGTAAAATAAATAGGATTTTAAGGGGGTTTCCTTGAACAATGTAAAAAATTGTTAGTTTAATTAGTATCTTCAAGAATCTGTTAAAAGCAGATGCAGGCCCCTTTAAGAAGCCCTAAAATGACAAAAGTGTGATTGATGTGAAAAATAGGATCCCTTCCTTTGGTGGTTTTGTAACCATGTCCACAAGTGGAGAGCAGTTCTCAGTGTTTAAAAGTTCTACCTACACTCTATCATTGAATGCCAACTTTGTGAAATAGATATAATTTGCCTTATTTTACCAGTAAGAAAACAGAGTCACAGAAATTATGGCTTGTCCTGGGTAAATAAAAATGCTACATAATATTCTAAAGCAAAATAATGAACTTATAATGAAGAATTCCTATTTCATTATTACTGTGCTGCTAACATAAATTAAACTTTACCATAAGTATACATGGTTTATGGTAGAAACCATAGTACCGTTTCCATTGGTTTCAGTATTATTTGTAGTTTGAAGCATTGACTAAACATCTTGGAACATATCCCCTGAGGATAGGAGGAAACTGAAGATATAAAGAGAATCCAAGAGTCATAGGATTTTACTTTTATAACAGAAATGATAAGAAAATTCCTGCCTGGCAAGTGCAAGGTCCTGAGTTCAATTCCTGGTACCAGAAAAAGAAAGAAAATTCCAAGAGTCTTCCTCTGATTTTTTTTTTTTAATTTATTAAAACCTCTACTCAGCAAACAGAGATGTCAAGTTAAATATTTACTCACTGCAGCAATTTAAATAAAATTATCAACCAAAATAGTAAACTTTCAGTGGCTGAAGGTAAGTTTTGTGAGAATACAAAAACCTCTGATGCATAGTTGCCTTAGAAATCACCTTTAATAACATTTCCGTCCTCACATTGGACTCTAGAGTAATAGTCCTGTGAAAGTTTTCAATCTACTATTTATCAGAAGTAGGTTTGTGGTGCAAAAAAACCTTTGCTTTTCTTCAGTTTTGAGAGAAAGGAACTAGTTCTCTTAAAATTTTTGAACTGGGCTGGGGATTTAGCCTAGGGGTTTTACCTCTTGCTGCGCAAACGCAAGGACCCGACTTCGATCCCCAGTACCAAAAAAAACACAACACTTTTTTTTGAAGTTACTTTCATGAGAAATTATAAGAGTTTACACTTTGAATTTTATTAATTACAAAGGGTCAGTGGGAGGAGACTGGGGGTGGGGCAGGCAGGTATGAGAAGCTTCACATTTTCCACTCAGGATATATAAAAGAAAATTTTAATAAACGAATTGTTACGTATGTAATGCACATTTATTTATTTATTTATTTATTTATTTATTTATTTATTTTTGGTACCAGGGATCGAACTCTGGTCCTTGCGCTTGCACAGCAGGCGGCGAAACCACTGAGCTAAATCCCCGGCCCAACATGTATTTATTTTTAATACAAAAGTAATGGACTAAGTTAAAATAGATGTTACAGGAAGATTGTGTTTGAGTTTTGGCTTCAAGTACTCCAAGGATTATAAGTATTCCAAACTCAGGCCATTTGAATTTGGCTTGTGGGTTGGCCAGGCCTTCCGCATGATTTGTTTTCATCTTAAATGATTTGCAGCCCTGGACCAAAGTCAGAAGCCATAGGATTTTTTGTTTTGCTTTGTTTTTTGTACCGGGGATCGAACTCAGCACCTTGTGCTTGCTAAGCAGCCGGCTGCACCAGTGGGCTAAATCTCCAGCCCAGAGGTTGTAGGATTTTGAGCTTCTTTCCTTACCCAATTCTGAGATAAATTCATTCCTTCAATATTCTGCCACTGAATAAAAACTTGGCATCATTCTCTGTTCTACTTGAGACAGGAAGGTCAGGCGTGGCTAAAACTGGCTGGGAAAGGAGGCACTAAGATCCTTGGAACCCAGCTCCAAAGCCCTGCATGAACTTCTCGCGAGAACTCGAGCAGGTTTTCCCCAGGATGGCCTGACCTGACTTCAGCCCGAGGAGTGGAGACACAAAAATGACGGTCCACACTGAGTTTTTGGCCACTGTGTTTTCTTGTGCGTGGTGGCCCACCCTCACGCTGTAGGGTGTTCTTCTTTTCCTACTTTTACTTGGCCCAAACTCACTCTCCAGAGCCTCTTTTCCTACCTTTAATAAAAGTATACCATTTGTGCTTGTCTTGACCAATCTTTTGCTCAGGATAGAAAGAACCTAGAAACTACATCTAGAATGAGACTTCAGCACCCCAAAAGCTGGTAATATAATGATCCTTAATGCCTACTGCCAAGACTGTACAGCTTCAAATTGTTACAATTTTTGGCCTTATTCTATAATCCCACTACAATATACAAGAATGAAGTAGCAAATTCGATTTCAAAGTTATACAAAAATGCAGTGGTTGTGTTCCACTAGCCATTCTTGTGGAATATTCTAGGAAACACTGTAGATATGTTAAAAACTTTATACTCTAAGGACTGCTTTTATATGAATTGTGGACATGAATAGATGAATTATTTTTTTCTTCTTCGACCTTCATAGGTTCTTTCTTTCTTTTTTTTTTTTGAGACATGGTCTTGCTTTTTAGTTCAGGCTGGCCCTGAACTCAGTATGTAGCCCCGGCTGGCCTCAAACTTTTGGTGATCCTCCTGCTTCTGCCTCCTGAGTACTGGGATTACAGGACCTGGCCCATCACAGGTTCTTAGGATTGATCCTATGACTAAAGATAGATCAATAAGAGAAAAGCAAAGCCGGGGGGGGGGGTGCACACCTGTAATCCCAACATTCAGGAGGCTGAGGCAAGGGGGTTCACCATGAGTTTGAGGCCAGACTGGGCTACATAGTGAGTTCAAGGCCAGACTGAGCTACATAGTGAGTTCAAGGCCAGCCTGGACTACATAGTGAGACTGTCTCAAAAAACAAAAAACAGAAAAGAAAAGCAGAGGTTTTTAATATGTGCATTTTAATACATGCATACATATTGTTTTAGTTGCTTTTCTCATTGCTGGGACAAAATACCTGACACCCAAAGTTAAAGAAGGAAAAGTTTATTTAGCTCACAGTTTGTAGGTTTCAATTCATAGTTGGCTGGCTCCAAGGATGATATGGCAGAGGGGCGTCACAGAGGAGAACCAGTCATGGTGGGCAGAAGGCAGGAAGGCAGCAAAGCAGCAAGGAAGCAACCATCAAATGGCAACAGCAGCCCTCTTTCTGTCCCTTATGTTCTATCCAGGCTACAGACCCTTAAGGCAGGTTGCACTCACACCCAGGGTGGGACTTCCCATTATCCACATTCAGAACTATGCCAAAACAGTCAGTGGAGTAATTTAGTAATCACATATGCTCAATCCAGCATCACACACTCTGGACCCAGCCACCTCTGAAAAAGTCCCACCTAATGACCACATGAGGCTTTGGGGGATATCTAGACACGAGCCATAACACATATGGAGCACCCCAAAGATGAGTAACTCAAAGGGGTGGTTAGATTTGGGAGAGGGGTCCTATGTACCTAACTTAGTAGAGGAAAAGGAGAAAAGAAAAAAAAAGACTTTTTAGACAAATAAATAGTCCTTAGAAGAAAAGAGAGATATGATAGTCCTGTGACAATGACTAGTTCCATATGGTACCAACTTCTCATCTCCAAAAAGAGAAATTTGAGGTTGTTGCCAGATTTATAACAACTGAGTTAAAATGTTGAGTTCTTTTGGGAGTCTCTGCTTTTAGACAGATAAAAAGAATTTCAGGAACTCAAATGCCCGTCTCAAAATGTTCCCTATGCCCAAAGTGGCATATTTGGGGTAGCATACCATGACCCCGTCCAGAAGGGAGGTGTGGAGACACTGGCTCTGATTCCACTGAGGGTCCTGTTCCTCTCACTTCTGTCTGCTTGGCTTGCAGTTGTTTTTATCGTGTTGCAATCTGACTTCTTTCTCACGTGTTTAAAAGTAGTCAAATGCAGGAATTGTTCATTCTGTAAATGAGTATTGAGCTTATACAAGACATAGAAGCAGCCAGAGATGAGATCTATTGAGAATTCCGGGGAGTAGCTTTAAGCATGTAGATGTGTGACCCATGGCGGTACTGTTCACTGAAAAGATGACAACTATGCTTGGGGCCGGGATGTGTCCCTTCATATCTTGGAGGTTTTAAGTTCAAATATTTTGATTTTTGTTCATGTTGAGCTTTGAGTTTTAAATGACTTAAGAACCACCAAGTGGATCTACACGCCTGGAGCCTATAGGACTGGATAACGTTCTGGGATTCATCAACATACAGAAAGTAGCTAGCACCAACGGAGAAATGAAACAATATTTCCTTAATACTTTTCAGGAAAAAATTATTTCTGATGCAGAAACAGAAACATTTTCTCATAGCTTCTCACTACAGAAGCCCTAGCAAAGCACCGAAATTTCTGACAGTAAGAACCGCAATCAGTTTCACAGGGTAGTTTCTGGAAGTGACTCTTGGGATAAAATAGTCGTCCTTTTGCAAAATCCAAAGCAGCAAACTTTGCTAGCAGGGGACGGGGCAGCGCTCAGAAAGGACACAGCTTGGGCACTGAATCCTGCTTGACAATAGGATCGATTTTAGAGGATCTGTAGAAATCGGCTGCAGAATGTCTCCTCTATACGTTGTACTGCACATTCAACAGAACTTCGGATGGCACGCCTTGGGATTCACTGCCCTCCAAGAAGACAGCAGAATTCTGAGACCAATTCGCCTAGGATCCGACTTCTGATTGAGCTGAAATACTGTGCCTATGGCCAACAAAACAGTGCCTAGACTCAAAAATTACAGCGAGCTTCTACCTCCCTCCCCTCTTCCACTTGTAGCCCACGAGCCACTGCTTTTGCTGCAGTTTTCTGCAGCCACATTTGGAATTCTTTGGTCTATTAGATTCGGCGCGGGCATTCTCTCCGGCCCATTTCTGAAGTCCTATTTGCTCTTCCTCCAGTCTTCTCCCACCAAACCTTTCTTTTTACCCTCAATTTAGTGCCTTCCCAGAGGCCAGAGAAATAAAGGCACAAAGACTACTGAATCTGGAAGCTGTGTTGGGGTCTGAATTCTCCTGGAGACTACGGAGAATCAGTTATTGAAAAACAAAGGGGGTGGGAGTGGGCAGGAGACGCAAAAAAGAGAGAAAAAAAAAGCTATGGCCAGAGGGAGCTGGAATGGACAGAAGAGAGGGAAACAAAAGAAACTAGACGCAGTGAGGGGGCGGGGCAGTTAGGCCGCTTCCCGCCCGCGCGCTCAGTCTTCAATCTGGTCCGATCCCGGTGCATATTAGCAGGGAGCTGATGCTCTGTCCGCCCAGGTTTTTCTCTCTTGCTAGAGCAAGTATGTCTGGGAGAGGTAAAGGCGGGAAGGGTCTAGGTAAGGGTGGTGCTAAGCGTCACCGCAAAGTCTTGCGGGATAATATCCAGGGTATTACGAAGCCCGCGATCCGGCGTCTCGCCCGCCGCGGCGGTGTCAAGCGGATCTCCGGGCTCATCTACGAGGAAACCCGCGGTGTGCTGAAGGTCTTTCTTGAAAACGTCATCCGCGACGCCGTCACTTACACCGAGCACGCCAAGCGCAAGACTGTCACCGCTATGGACGTGGTCTACGCGCTCAAGCGCCAGGGCCGCACTCTGTACGGCTTTGGGGGCTAAGCGCTTGGCTTCCTATCTCCTTCTCAACGGCCCTTTTTAGGGCCAACCACACAGTCGCCGGAAGAGCTGGCCGCTTTGTGACAATGGAAGTGGTAGCTAAATAGGGAGAATTTTTGTTGGGTGATGGCCCACAGTCGATGAACGATTTGACCTTGTTTGCTGAGAGGCCCCGATGCTTTCTGCTTTTGTATAGAATACGGACACAGACCGCTGGTTATCTCCGGTCGACTTAAAATACCATCACTATTGTGCGGGTCTAAGCAAATACACACTGCATAGTGGGGAAGCAGTGCTAGATCTGTGGTCCAGAGTTGCCAGTGGTGCTTAGATCAGGATGTAAGCTTAAACGGTTCACCTTTTCCAGTTTGAGATAGCAAGGAGGGAGCCAGGTCCTTAAGGGCTTATTACCGGTCACTTTCATATGTGCCGGTTGCCTCTAGCTTGCAAAAATCAAGACCAGTCAGCCAACTCCCCGGGAAGCTTACTGATAAGTTCTCAGATGTTTCTGGCAATTTACCTGGCAAGTCTTCGAAAACTCATGGGCTTCTCGTGCTCAAAAAGGCCTCAAAATTTAGTCAAGAGCTGGAGATGATCAACTTTCAGTGGTGACACTGCAAGGATACAGATGCAGAGACATTTGATGTAATCCTATAAAAGCTGAGCAAACAACCAACTTTTGGAAAACTTTCCTTCAAAAAATGTGATTTATGTGGCTTTTTCCTGTTTGGACCTGTAGTAGCTTAGTAAAATGGAGGCCTATTAAGAACATGCCCACCATTAATACAGAAGGTAGTGTTTAATTTTGACCAGGCAAAAGTATCGGGCAAAGAATACAACAAGCCAATACTTCATTTCTCCTAAACTCCCCTGATTTGGATTTAAAATTGGCGGGTCCACAAAAACACTTGGGTGGGAGAAGTTTAATACTAGTTGCTTTACCAAGCATACTGACAGCAAGGAAAAGATGCGAGATTCACCCTCGTGGAGCTCATTGGAACAGGAAAGAAAAATAGTTACATAAACAATGTACAAAGTATGATCAAAACAATAGTTAGTATTTACAGTTTTTAAAATGTTTTACAGTAAGACTCAATTCCCCTGGCTTGAAACACACTTATCCCATCGTTTTTGCCACTCTGAAGCAGATCTGAAAGTCCTCTTTTGTGTCTTTAATTTGCTGTCACGGCTGCCTCCATGTCCTGAACTGATTCCAAACATTTACCTTTCATGTTCATTTTGACTTTGGGGAAGAGCCAGAAGCCCCATGTGCCAGATCCAGTGACTAAGGTAGTTGAGGACACACTAATGTTTTTATGAGCCTGCCTTTCCACTGGATGGCACGTGACAGCAGTATTTAGTTTTCGTCACACCTTGTAAAGACATTAAAATTACAGACTATGAAGTAACACAATTTTTGCATTAACATATGCCTTTCTCTTAACCATTTCCAACAATAAAGAATATAATGCTATATTTAGTCATCTGTAACAGTGGAGAGCATAGTCTATTTTATCTCTTTAGTTTGCTAATAAAAATAATGTGAGCCAGCTGCTCTTTCTCTTCCAGAGTGAATTCAGGACTTGGACTAGAATAGATACATACAAAAGATTAGTCGGTCCTAGGGGTCTACTTGTATTAGAGCGGTCATGGAAGCATTGAGCATCTTGCTGACAATTCACACTTCACTATGGACCACTCACTAAGGTCCTATTTTCCCTTTCTAGGCTTTCGTCTCTGACTAGCAGTAATATCTTACCAGACACTCAAGCCAGATGCTTCTGAGTCAGCTTTCACTACATTATTTTCATTTGAACCCATACCTTCTGTACTTTATATTCTAGCTATTGATGTACATGGTATTTTTCTACTTGAGTTCAAAGAATTGAACTTGCACTCCCCCAGCCCCTGCCCTGTCACTAGAAATTAAACCCGAGGACTTCACATAAGCTACATCCTTAGCCTCTTTTTTATTTTTTATTTTGAGATGATCTTGTTAAGTTGCCCAGGCTGGGCTTGAATTTGGGATCCTCCTGTATTAGCTTCCCAGACTGCTGGGATTAGAGGCAAACTAGGATTTATGCAAAATGTCACTAGCATATATAAATACGTATAAATGTGTAGAGAATTAGAAGAATGTTTACAAAAAGTTAAGAATTATTTATAGATATTGGTTTTACTATCTTCATTGAACATTTCTGAATTGTTTAAATTTCTTAAAATAAGCATGAATATAATTTTCCCTAAAATAATCAGATGATAGACAGACACACACAGTCTGGATTATATTGACCTGGAAAATCTAAGTTTCTGCCATAGTTACATTTCTTCATCTTTAGTGCTACTGAGGATTCCTCCCTTTTTCATAGTAATGTTTCAAAGATCAAATTAAAAGACCTGTGTGGGGGAAAAAGTGAAACCAGCAAGTAACATAAACACCAAAAGCGATATATTTTTCGCGAACCTGCTTCTTACATGCTCTGGAATCACTAGGGGAGAAGAGAGTGTCTCCACGTAGAATGTAGAGAACGAAGAAAGAGTGGATAAAGGCAGGGTCAGATTTTCAGGGCTAGACCAGAAAAATATAGTCAGTATAAAGAAGCAAGTTGACTTCCCAGTGGGCATGACTGCTATACTGTGTTAAATGTATTATTCAAAAGTATTCAGATCTTCAGAATACCCAAATGTAAACATTATTCCCATTTTATAAAGGAGGAAACTGATGTTTATGGAGTTGAAACAACATGACATTCTCTGATACACCCTGAGATGTCCTGACTTTTACTAAAATACTTGTGTAGGACTTGCAAATCCCGGGGAATCTGAGGATCTGTTCATCTATTTGCCACATTATTTAACAGAACCGTAGAACGTCAGGGCTGGGAAGTGCATGGCGTCATCCGGTCCGGTTTCCTTATTATATCTTTTCCTCGGACTTGAGGATAAAACTCTGCTCCGCTGCCTGTTGCCATCGGGTCCCTAAGTGGTGCGGTGTCCTCAGAGGCCCACTTGGGCCGCGCCTGGCGAGCTCTTCCTGGTGCTTGCGTCCTCAGCTCCTTGGGGATCCCGCCAGCTCCAGGCTCTGCCCGTGTGGCCCGAAGCGAGGTCGTCAGCGGCTCCTTCTGCCGGCTCCTGGCCCTGTGAAGGGGGCGCCCTCCTCCCAGGCACTCAGGCAGGACGTCGAGTCATCTCTGATTACTTTTTGCCTCAACAATCCCTTTCTGGCCTTTCCCCCATCCAGGTTCGGGCAAGTGTCCATGTGCAGTAGTCGGCAGCTTCCTCCTGCCCATGGCTGTGGCTCGTTCCCTTGTCCTTTGTTCTCTCCTCAGCACCTCTCATCTACAGTAAAGACAAGATGACCAGACCCACATACTTCCTCAAAGGACAAACACTCGGCCTAATGAAGTCTAGATAGACATCAACACCCACCCGGTGGGTGACCAGAGACCTCTAGACCCACCACTTCCTAGGAGAATCTCCGTTCTTTCCATCCACTTGTTTCCCAACTGGACCACTATTACCTGCGTGACTACACTTGTAACCTTATTGGATGTTCATGGCTGTGAGGTTCCCCAGACTACCCACTTGGACCCTCTCCTGCCCCTCAGGAGCTTTTCTATCAATAAATATCTTCCTGCTCTTTTTTTTTTTTTTTAATTTCTTTTTTCCGGTACCAGGGATCAAACTCAGGACCTTGTCCTTCTGAGGCAGGCGTGGTGCCATTGAGCTACATCCCCAGCCCTAATGTCTTCCTGCTCTTAACTTCCATTGTCCCTAGGACTCATTGTTTGATTTCTAGAGAACAAGAACTCAGCATATCATACAATGAACAGGTTGGGAGATATATTTCATATTTCATCTCCGGGGGCTGGGAATTTAGCTCAGTGGTTCCGGCGCCTGCCTCGCAAGCGCAAGGTCCCGAGTTCGATCCCCGGTACCAAGAAAAACCCAAAAACACACATATTTCATCTCCGGTATTATTTACTGTAACATGAGGCCTGAGGCTTGGCTTTCTGCAGTTAAGTGCTGCTCCTTTCTGGTTCCTTTTGCATTCCTTTCCATGGGATAGTGTTCTTTCCATACAGCTCTCATGTTATCCTGCTTAAAGCACTACCCACTATAGTATTGTCTCTCTCTCCCTCTCTCTCCCTCTCTCTCTCTCTCTCTCTCTCTCTCTCTCCAGGGTCTCCCTGTGTAGTCCAGGTTGGCCTCAAACTCATGGTGGCCTCCTGCCTCAGCTTTCCAAGTTCTGGGACCGCACTACAGACGTGCACCACCACACCTGGCCCTCTTGTTATCTTTTATCCATATCTTTTATTCCTGATCTTTTCCCACTTTCATTTTAAAGTATCTTTCTGTGTCTGTATATGAATGTTAAATACATTAATGTCATTTATATACTTTTTTTTTCCTGTGTCTGTATACAATTGTTAAATACCTTAATGTCATTTATATAAATAGTATTGTTTTCAAGCTCATTCAATTGATTACCTTATTTCCTTCTGGCTTATGTTGTTTTTAAAGACCTCTCTTTGTTGTTAGGTGTTCCTGTGGCCTGAATGTGGTCCCCCCACACCCTGAAATTCTTATGTCAAAACTTAATAAGCAATGTGATATTAAGAGGTGGGGACATCAAGGGGTGATTAAATCACAAGAACAAAGCCCTCATGAATAGGTTAGTGACCTTACCAGAGACCTGAAGGAGCGGTCTGTCCCTTCTGGTAGCAGACACCTTCATGCAGTATTAGCAGGCTATAGTGGCACCAGCCTCCTGCCCCTCCGTGATTCGCCTGTGTTACATTGGAAGTAGCAGAGCTTGGCTGAGCTCACTCCCAGTCAAGGTCAACTGACTCCAGCTAAGTTCCTCCTTCTGAATTAACCGAATGTTCTCTTCAGCACAAAGAATGCTATGCCCTCATTCTCCAATCCCGCCTGCCTGATCCTTGCTATCAGCAGGTGTCCAAGGCTGCCCAGCTTCCCCCTACACACACACTGGTGACAAATAAACACCAGACGTCCTAGGAGTCCTTTGTCTTTGCTGCCCAGAGCAGCTTAGATCAGCCTAAGACTCAGTTTCTCTCAAGTCTCTGTCTCTGTGTTTCTTTTAATTCCCACTTTCCTATCTCACAGACATCGTACTGGCTTGCAGGAGGCCAGGACCACTGCAGGGGTCTCTGACAACTTCCATTACCCTCTCCCTATACCTTCTCCCATGTTGAGGACACACAGAAGGGCCATCTATAGCAAACACACTCACCAGACACAAGCTTGCTGGCACCTTGACCTTGGTTTTCCCAGCTTTCAAAACTGTAAGCAACAGGGCTGGGGATGTAGCTCAGTGCTGCCATGCCTGCCTTGTAAGCACAAGGTCCTGAGTTTGATCCTGGTACTGGGTGAACAAACAAACAAAAACCTGTAAGCAACAAATTTCTGTTGTTTACAAATTACCCTAAGACATCTTGTAATAGCTCCTCAAACTGACTGAGACAGGTGTCCATTATAAACTTATATTGCTGCAGAGTACACCACAGAGTGAATCTACCATATTTTATTTATCCTTTTTCCTGGTAATGAATGTCCAACGTTGTTTCTAATGTTCCATTGTCTTTGTCATGTTTCCTGATAAACTTGTGTGAGAATTTCTTTTGGATGTCTTAGTTACTTTTCTCATTGCTAAGACAAAATACCCAACATCCAGAGTTAAAGGAGGAAAAGGTTTATTGTAGCTCACAGTTTGTAGAGGTTTCATTTCCTAGATGGCTGGCTTCAAGGCAGGGTCATCTGGCAGAGGGGCATCACAGAGGAGAAACAGTCCATGGCAGGCAGAAGGCAGCAGAGCAGCAAGCAGCAGAAGCAGCATCAAGCAATGAGGCAGAAGCCTTTCCCTTTTATCCCCTCCAGGCTACTTGCCTTGTGGGTGGTGCCGCCCATATCCAGGATGGATCTTCCTATTATCCACACACAGAACTATGCTTAACCAATCAGTGGACTAATTTAGTAATCACACACCCTTAATCCCAGCATTGTAAGGCTTAATCCCAGCATCACATACCCTAGAACCAGCCACCTCTGAAAAGCTCCACCTAGGAATGCATGAAGCTTTGGGGGACAACTAGATAAAAGACATAAAAGATGAATACACAGAAACAGAATTCCAGCTCCTGTGATTTGTGTAAATTAACTGGCCTAGGAGGTAGCAATCTGCCCTTCAGAATGCTGCCCTCATCCACAGCTCACAAGAAGGGCACCAAGAACCTAAGCCCTCCATCTCGGCCACCCCTTGACATTAATCCATGTTCTAGTATTTGCTGGACTATCTAGTACACAGTAATCTATTTTCCCTGATTATCAATTTTATGAATATCCTTACATATGAATACTAGATTTTGTGCTTCCTCTTCTATAATCCACCAGCTGTTCTTATTTTTCCTCCTACAGTTTGCAGAGTAAAACCTATTCCCTTACTAGTTTAACATTTAAGACCCTAAGAAAGCTGGCCTCAAAGTCCCCACCACTACAAACCCATTTCTCATTACTGACCAAGGCCAACCTTCTGGACTGGTCATCACTCACAATTCTCCTATTTTTCTGGTTCTTTTGCCTGGATTTGACAGCCCCAACCCAAGTGTTCCTACTGGAAAAGCTTCAGAATTCATCTTTCAATCTACATCCTTCTTCACCACCTACCAGAGCACACCTTCAAATTAGTGCAGATTAGTATTCATAAAGCCCAAAGATCTGGTTCCCATTGCTTCAAACTTGGAAACTGCCTCCAGGTATGAGGATGCTGGGATTCCTACTGCACAAGACAGTAGCATGTTTTAATCAGAGTGGTAATTTCATTTGGTTTTGGTAATTTTCTCTATTGTAGTGGTTTATAGTTCCAGGTTAAAACCCATTGGCAAGTGGTAAAATTTACTTTAAAAGATGTAAACAAGCACTTTCTTTTCATGTAACAGAATAGAACTGAAAATATCAAAGTGTATCCCAAACAAAAAATAGGTATCATTTTGTGCAGCTTGTTTCAATTTTACATGTCTCCGAATGTGCATGTAAAATACATTGGAAGTTTGGAGTCAGCAGAAATCAGAGCTACTGCTGCTTCTAAACTACAATAAGATACACTGTATCTCGCTATGGAATAACCGCATGTATAGCTTTCTTGAAACAATGAATCTAATAAAAAAGAAAAGTAAAACACAAGATCCAGGCTCAAATTCTACTTCTGCCATCTTTTGGCTCTGAGATCCACATTCTCTCCTTAGTTTCTTCTATTCAACTGGAGGAACCAATTCCCCCCACCAGCTATTCTGAAACCAGATGGGGCTGGGAGTGAAAGGTGAACTATAAGCCACCTAGGAACCCTGGTGTCCTCGTATCTAGGCCACACAGTGTAGAAGCTCATCATGCATTTAAAATTATTCACAAGTTGTTCTGTATCATTTTTTAAGGATGACTGTAATTCAGACTTACATCAATTACTTTTTCTTTTTTTTTTTTTTTTGGTACCAGGCATCGAACTCGGGACCTTGCACTTGCGAGGCAGGCGGTGGAACCACTGAGCTAAATCCCCGGCTACATCAATTACTATTGATGTCATTAATAGTAATTTCAACGTTAATGATGTCATTAGTATCAATTTATTACAAGTTAGGCTCTGTTCTAACCATTTTATATTAAATGTAATTGTTTTTCATCCTCATGGTGATCCACTGCAACAGTTATCCTGTTTTACAATGAGGAAATGTCGATCCAAATCTTTTCTCTTTGGAGCCTTTTTCCGGTTAAAGGTCAGGAGCCTGGCCCTACCCCCACCACGCCCAAGGGGCCTCAAATCCCAATTCATAGCAGTGATGTCCTCAAGTTTCTGTTTCCCATCCCTTCTCTCTTCTGCCGCCCATCCTTCCCTCTTCTTCCTGTCTCTCTTTAGATAAACCCCACGGACTGTTCGCCTTACCACATCCCATAGGAACCCCGACAGCACAGCTGATTCTCCTCACTTTGGAGATAGAGAAACAGGACCTCCTCCCCAGGTCCTCTGCTTTCAGCAGGATTGGAGATGCTGGTGGGGCACAGCCCAGTGAACTCCTTCTCAGTTGCTACTGCTAGGATCAGCCTAAGGCTCCAACTGTGGCCACCTGTGAACAAGGGGTACATGAGCTTCTCAGAGGCCATGACCATAAGCAGTTTCCTACTCCCTGTATCTGGGACGCCCCTGAGGGCCTCGGAAGTTGTTCCAAGAGGACTAGCCCAGGGCTGCTCCTGATCTGTAACTATAAGGACTTCAAAAGATGGGGCCTTTTGTGCCCAACTTCCTTTCATAAGGCAGAGTAGAAGGTCAAGTGAATTCATTTCCACAGCATTTCCTGGGCATCTATGGTATGCCTGTTTCCTTGAATGCTAATGCCACAGAGATGAACGAAGACAAATCCTCACCCTGCCCATATTACCAGCTTGAGGTTAGGAAATGGAAGGGATCTCCAGATGGGAGGGAGGGAGGTAGAGGGAAGGAGGAGGACTCAGAGACAGGGCAAAGAGGAGAAAGGAAGGGGGAGGCATCTGGGGCTGAATCTTGCAGAAAAAGAAGAGGCTCTCAGAATTGCGAAGAAGGCAAGAACATTCTGGACAGAAGACATTGAGTATGTGAAGACACTGTCTACTTAAGAAATGGAAGTGCTGCATGGGACTGGAACATACTTGTTCTGCTGGAAGTGCATCTGAAATCTGAGGAGGCTCCAGGAAACACAGGAACTAGATGTATATTACAATAAATTTTACTGGGATGTTTTTAAAAATTAATGACTATTAAAAGGTTAATAACTAGTAATAAAATTAATTGAAAGTTTATTCTAGACTCAACACTGTGTTAGACAATTATCTGTCACTATCATTTTTCCCAACAAAATTATAGATAATTTACTATTGTGCCCATTTTACAAATGGGAAAAGTAAGGCCTATAGAAATTTACTTCCTTAAAAAAAAGAAAGAAAGAAATTTACTTCCTGAGCTCATATACTTGATCTTAGGACAAGGCCAGGATTCAAACTTGGGGGTTTGTCTGGCTCCTGAATCCTTCCTAGGGATCCACATTTACTGCTCTGAACTGCCAAGAAAGGAAAGTGAATTTCCTTCTGAAAGAAGTGAGAAGGTGGTGAAAAATTTTTAAGCATGAGAATAATAGGCTTTTTTTCAAATTTTCTGAAGCAGGGTCTCACTATATAGTCTAGGCTGGCCTGGAACTCAAGACAATCCTCCTGCCTGCCTCACCCACCAAGTGCAGGGATTACAAGCCTGCACCACCACACCCAGTGGCATTTTTTAAAAAGATAGCCATCAGGCCGATACAGAGACCAGCCTGTATATTTAATCTGCTAGACCACAGCCTGTGAGGGTATCGATTAAGACAGGAGTCATGAATGGATGGAAGGAAAGCACAGTTTAGGACAAAGGGAAAAAGGAAGGAACTTCTAATCTGAACAGCTAAGGGGAATGTAGGTATCTGTCTGTAAATGGAAGGTATGGATGGGAACAAATAGACCTGGGAAGCAAGATGAGGTATACAGCTTTGGAATTGAGTCGGAACTGCCTATTATACAACCCGAGGGACCTGCCCACTGAGTGGTGTGAAAAATTGGTGTACAGCTCAGGATTGGGTCTTAGTAGAAGATACTGATTTGGGAGCACTTAACAAAGGCAGAAATATGGAAAGCAGGTGGTCGATGATTTTGAGTTGCAAGGAAAAAAGATGGCCAAGGCCAGCATGGAGAAAACCAGGAATACTGACAGAGAAGAGAAGGCCATGAAAAGACTGAGACAGAGGCCCAGAGAAGAAAAGGATGACCAGGAGAAATAGTGAACCTGAATGACAAGTCCTCTTCCAAAGAGGCCAAGGTGATATCAACAGGGCCAGATTTTACTACATGGTTTTTCTCTACACACACACACACCTGTCCCCCCACCACCAAAGGCAGAATTAAAAATGAACCATGTTTGTCATTGCTTAAAAACCTTACTTTCTCCTTTTTTCAAGGATCAAACAATCAATATTCTAACATTTCCATACAACCAGAGCCTCAGTGGAGCACAATGTGAAAACCTTCCCTGAGTACTTGTCAGGGTCCTAGTCACCCACCTAGAGATCTGGACTCAGGAGGATTGGGCCTTTTCCTGAAAGTTCCTGGAAGGCAGGAGTTAACTGAGAAAGCTTGAGGGTTATACACAGCACTCTTGAGAGTTCAGCCGCACACAGATAGGTGTTCAGGTGGATATACCTGCAACTGTCATGGGCCTACCTCAGTTCCTCCTGGAGACTAGCATCTTTTATAAGATGCCTGTTCAGCAACAATTCAATAGACTCACTCACCCTGGCACTGCAAAAAGACGTGTGTCTCCCTGGCCCAGGGACCGCCATTACTGATTAGCAGGTAAAGGCTACTCATCTTTTAAGCGCAGTGTTTCTTCTGGGCCAATGTGCTCTTTGGTACTGCCATCTTCCTCGGTTTAGGGGCCAGAAAGAAGCCTGGATATGTAAGAGCTCCATTCCTAGAGTCATTCTTGTTGACAAGTTATTAATCCATGTCCAAGAGGGTCAGAATTCCTGTGACAGCTCTGAGAGGAAGTGACCAGAGGTGCCTGGGGCAGTGCCCAAGTTGCTTTGGGCCAGATGGTCAGTGGCATGAGGTCCCCAACTGGGGCTTCTGTAACATAATCTGCCAGTCCTCCTGTGCGCTCTCCTTGGTGCCAAGCTCTTCACAAGTTTACCTTCTGGAATGCCTGTTTAGCCAGTTATCTCCTGGTAGCAATTCCAGGAAAGTAATCTTGTCAAAGGCTCCGATTTGAGATCTTGTGAAGGATGATTGGGTTTGTCTGGCTTCTTTACCTGAACTGAGGCTTGTCCTGTACCTGTGTGTATTTTTCAAATGAGCATCTAAAGTCCCATCGTCTCTATCTTGATGTGTAATTCTAAAGCCAAAACATTTGGGTGCTGCTTAAATCCATGCTAGGGAGCTGGGAAGTCTGCCTGCATTCCACTTGAGACTAGGGCCCAACTGGATGGCTGCCAGACATGGATTTTCCCTAAAAACTCTACTTTCAAGGTAGACTTCCTGCAATCAAACTAGCCATGTAGAAGCTAAGTATTAGAGGAAGTGTACTTATTTACCTTGTTCTTCGTTACCCTTTAACCCTCATCTGTTAGTAGAGAATGATTTAGATACAGAAAATTTAAAATGTCAAAACATACATTTTAAATTGCTATCAGGTATTGATGGACTCAGTTTATGCCCATCTGCCAAATAGGAAGATTTGAGACTGTCGTGGGTGCAGCCCTTACAGCTACAGGACACAAATGTCATCCTGTTCCCCACTAGATTTCAACATCGCTGTGAAATTTTCCTTTGAGAGACAGTCAGGGAAATTTCCTGCAGTTTAGAGGACTCAGACTGGTGAGTTAAAGCTCATCATCTTCCAGCAGGCAGAGGGGAGAGAGGACTGACAGCAACGCCCCCAGGTTCCGGGGCCTGCTTGGCCATTGCTGGGCCTGAGATGTCAGGTACCAAGGTGGACTCCCACCAGCTCTCAAAGTACAGAGTGCACGCACACCCTGTATTACAGGTCCAGGCCCTAGGCAGAAACTGCTGTGACCCTGACACAAAAACATGTGACAATCCAAGGAAGGAAAGACCACAGTACTGAACTACTTCTCTCCTTCTGACATATGAGAGCAAATGGCAACGTTACAAACTAAGTTTATTCCGGTTCTTTCTCCACGTGTGATGTCTCAATGACGGTAATGAATGTTTTCAGTCTGACACCTGCGCTAAAAAAAAACAAGGTAAGTTCCGTCCTCTTCCGAGTGCAAACAGGGAGGAAGACTAAGAAGAGCTGTCATCTGAGACCTGCACGACCATTGGAGTCCCACGTGGACTGGAGTCCGCCAGCCCTGCCAACACCCCCGCCCCAGGACTCACCGGAAACTGGCTAAGCCATTTCCTACGATGGGAGCTCAACCTGCCGACCTGGGGACCATGTTCTCCCCTTTTGATCCACTCTTACCCAAAACCTGAAATCGAGACCCCTATTCTGCCCTTTCAATGTGCAATCTCTTAAATATGTCCTAGAATACAGACTCACGTCACAGCCTTCAGAGAAGAGTACCTTCCTGAAGAGCTCAAATGTCCCTGTGTACTTGCGATGGGAACCCTTCAAATAATGCGAAATTAGTCTATGCATCCATAGGGAGTTGGCTTGAGAGAATGTGAGGTGAACACGCAACTGGAGACAGCGGCCAGGCTCAGGACTCCCGCACCAAGCCCAGGAATCCCTAACTCTACCTGCAGAAGCCAGAGAGCCAAGGTGGCGCTTTCTTTTTGCAGCTCATCACTTAGCCCCAACGGCTGATGAGCCCACTTTTGGGGAAGAGCAGCTTACCGCCGGTGCTCTCGACTGGGTACAAAGCCTAGGCCAGTTTAGGCCTACTCAGTACAAGTAAAGGCTGCAAAGCACAAATCCTGAGCGCCCGCCGGTAACCGAGGCTCCTACCCCAGGACCCGCTGTCCCGGCCGCCGCTTTTCCCACCGCGAGGCGGCCGAACAGGGAGCGCAAGGGACGCACCTGGG